CACTCTCGACGATGGTTGGTTCTTTATATCAATCCATGGTTTGTCGATGGGCCATTTCACCAATTCCTTAAGCCACCCTTCGAGCCGACAATTCTTGCTCAGCCCCTCATTCAACATCTGCGCGCTCAGCTGAAACTCTTTGACATTATGTGGCTCGGCACGGAGCCCGATTACATCGATCGTGGTCTCGGCCCATTCCGCCATTGTTTGATAACCACTGGAATGGGAGTCTCCACGCAAATTTTGACGATTGCACACTGGGTGATCGCCAAGCGGCTCCAACGTTCTTCTTGCGTACATGCACTCTGGCACTAGTGGATCCTCCGCTCTTGTTTTGTAACTCGAGTTGGACACTTCTGCCGCGACATTCCGGATTGCAATTGAATCACTGATGCCAGCGCCGGTTTGGCAATCTGGCAATGAGGAGCCAAATCTGTCAGGTGCAGCAGTGAATAGATCAAACACGCTCCTGGCAAAATATTGCGCGCTCTTGTTAGAATGCGGTGTAGAAACCCACTGCACCAGAAGTGGCCCTGATCCGAGTCCATTCTTGACGCGTAAGAGAACCTTCTGACCCCAGAATCCTTCTGGCCCGCCATAGCCCACAAGCCATTCGTCTGCCCAGTAGTAGCCAGCAAAGCCTCGGCCAGACCATTCTATCCCATTTGCAGTGAAATCTGTTACTGGGGCATTGCTCAGGAAACTCGGAATCGCGGCGGGAAATCTGTGGCGCAGTTGATCCATAACTACTTCTTGCACTCCGCGAATCGACAGAAATCCAACGGTACGGGCGGCTTCACCAAGAAGAAACATATCCGCGGCAATCGAACAAAGACCGATCCCTGCCCGCAAATTGATCTCATAAACTCGCGTTGAAACACTCTGGGAACAAGCAGGCAGTGTCTCAGACTGATAATACGTTCGATTCGAAATGCCGAGTGGATCGAACAAATACCGGCGAGCTGCATCGGGGAAGCCCCAGCCTGTTGCAACTTCGACAGCACGCTCTACGATTGCCCACTGCATGTTGGAATATTGAAATCGGGAGCCCAGAACAAATGCGGGGCTTACCTTGCGAAGTGCCTCTTCACATATACGGGACGCTGGCATGATTCTATATTTCACCCAGTCAGGCGTCCAATGCCAGTAGGGTAAGCCACCCACGCCTGCCATGACATGCCGCAACGTCAATCGCTGCAGTACTGATTGTTTCTCTACTTTCTGTAATTGAAGAAACTCAACAATTGGCTCATCGAGCCCTGGGAGTTTGCCGAGTTCCACGAGTCGTAACACCAGGAGGGCCGTGGCAAACTTCCCAGCACAACGCATCCACATGCTTCTGTTCGCAACTTCTGGGCCAACTGCGAACCTCTGCGTCTGGTGTGATGCGTCGCTTTGGCTCAACAGAACTAAACTTGGACCAGGGTCTGACCCACGCTCAGCAAAAACACACCTACCATGCGCTTCTGGCCAAAATGCTGTTGGCAACATTTTCTCGGCCAGGGGGCTGCTCAGGCTGGCAGCTGGCCCAGCTGGCGAAATTTCCTTCGCCCTAACTGACCATTGTATCAATGTATTCAAAATCAAATCAATTCTCGAAGTATGAACAGCTGCAACACCAAATTCAACACAACCTCGCCCGCGCGCGCGCTCATGCCGCATGACCCCCCCACCCAGCCCAGAGTGCATCGATTTATTTTTCCTTGCACGTCGGGGGCTGCGCGCCACGGTGCGCCCGCGCGCGCGACGCGTGCACGGGGCCGCGAGGATGCCCCACGGGGAGAGACGCACATCACGGCCCAGGCTGGCGCGCAAGCGCCTCCACACCCCCCGCCACTCGGCCGCAACTACGCGGCCGGACGCTGAAAGGCAGAATGGCGCAGAAAAGTACCAAGGATCCCGGCACACAAGAGCAGAGCAACCTCTGGGCCACAACCTCGAGGCGACCTCCTGGCCACTGCCGCCCGTGCGATCCCAGCTAGCGCACGCCCCAATAGCGGCTAGCGCCACCCACGCCCCGAAGCCCAAGGGTGGGCCGGGTGGGAAGGCAAGGGTGCGGGGGTAGCGTCTCGACCCAAAACGGCGACGCACGGAGTGCTTGACACATGCCTTCGCTGCATCCTCACTCCCCACCCCGCCGCCCAATCTGCATGAGCATCAGCGTGCAGCTTAGGTTCGCACGTAACTGCGTTACTAAGCCAACCTCGCCCGCACGCGCGCTCATGCCGCATGACCCCCCCACCCAGCCCAGAGTGCATAGATTTATTTGTCCTTGCACGTCGGGGGCTGCGCGCCGCGGTGCGCCCGCGCGCACGACGCGCGCACGGGGCCGCGAGGATGCCCCACGGGGAGAGACGCACATCACGGCCCAGGCTGGCGTGCAAGCGCCTCCACACCCCCACCTGGCAAAGCCGCGCTTGCCTCGCACCACGGCGGTGCAGGGCAACGACGGCACCAATCGCCGGCACCCGCGCCCCGCGCCGCAACCTCCCCAAGTAGCGCGAAACCCGACCGCCCCCGAGCGGCAAAACGGATCCCGCACACCGTCGACCAGTATGACGACGGCATGCCCAACGCTACGGAGGAGCGCTCATGGCACCGACCCCCACAGATCGAGACCCATTGCCTCGCGGGGGCGGACGCGGGGGTAGCGTGCGCCGCGGCCACCACGACAGAAGTGGGACCACCTAGCGGCTCAGCTGCCGAAGGCAAAGCCTCCAGCTTCTTGTCGACGGCGTCGATGCGTTCCTGGAGGTCGGCGACCACCGCGTCGAGCCTGTCGCTGGGGGCCTCAACCGCCGCCGCGTCGTCCCCGAAGGCCCGCTCCGACAGTGCTTCCTCCACGTAGCCGAGAACAGCTGCAGACGCCCAACGGCCCAGGTGCATGATGGACCTGAGGGCGACCCCGGCGCGAGCGTACCGCTTCGCTCCGCTCCTCCGGGCAGTGTGGCCACCAAGAGGGGGATGCCCCTCTGGCGCAAGGCCTTGCCAAGCGGCGACGACAGTCCTTTTGGTTGGCACCTGGCGCCCCGAGGTCACGAAAACAGGCACTTCCCAAGCGGCGTCCGACTGTTCATCTACGCCCACCTCGCGAAGCCTGCCCGCCACTACACGCCTCAATGCGCACGGGGCGCACCAGATGCCCTCGCCCTTGCAGTCGCAGCGGAGGCTCCTGGTGCACCCGCACCCGCCCGCGTCGGTTTTGCTGACCGGCAAGAATAATGAGGCGACTCGCCGACCCGAGTCCCACCGGAAATGTGCAGCGACTATCGCCGACAGCTCAATCTCTCTCAACATCCACGCGCATGCCACTACATAAGAAGAGAAAGGATTCAGTAGGTCGTCGACCCCAGAAACTGTCGCTGCGGCATCGCCATGACAACCAGCGGGCATCTGGTCCCAGCGCAGCTCCACGGCCTTTGATGCCGGGCCCAACCCTCGCTCCAAAGAGTCGCGGCACCTTCTGAAGACTAGTGCCAATGAAGCGGGGATGGCCGCGCCCTGCTCAATATGTCCTTGCCTCAGCTCACCAAGATACGACTGGCCAGAGCGGAAATCCGACGCCTTCAAAGCCGCTGCAACCAACTCCACCCGGAGAGCAGACAATGGGTAGATCGGCTCACCAGGCGTCGCCAGACGAGCAAGCCCTTCCACGGCACATCGTTCGCGCGACTTCACCTCCCATGTGTTCGAGGCGTAGAAGTCCAAGCGCAGACGTTCAAGCGCCTCCGTGCGCTTCGACGCGTCACTGAGGATCTCCCTGGCCACCCGGATGTCTCCGCGAGGCGCCGGCCCCCCTGGTGTCGGAGGCAAGCGAGGATGGTCGCCGCGCAAGGGTGCGGGCGACTGGGAACGACCTCTGGGCCTCGACCGCGATCTCAATCTGCCCGGAGGCGACCGTGGACCCACCGGGGCCCTCGCCGCCGAGGCGCGCCCAGCAGTGGACAATGCTGCCGACCGAGAGGCAAGTAGTTCCGACCAGAAGTCGCCCGCGCCGCCCCCGCCCTCGACAGCAGGCTCCGCCGCCTCTGCCGCGGCCGTAAGCCCCGCCAACGGGACACGCAGGTCGCACCGCAGCGGCAGAGCAGCCTGTCCCAGGGCTGGCGCTCGAGCAGCAGACCGCTTGGCACGCCCCGCCTGCGGAAGCGTGATCTTGTCCATCCCGGGATGGCGGCGACTGAGATTGGAGCCCAAATGGCAAGGACCTGACACGACGACCACGACGACGGACAGGGGAGGGAAGGAGGGGGGCGGGAAGGGAAGGGGAGGAGAGAGGAAAAGAACAGGATACGGTCGATCCTAAGGGGTTCGAGGTGGGCCGCCACCTCAATACCCCGCACCTGCGAGGGGCAGGCCACCCCGAACCTTTTCGACCCCTGCCTGGAAACCAGACGCCCGCCCTTCAGAGTCTTTGGAAACGGAGGCCGGCGCGCCTCCCGAAGGTCGCCTTCCCCGGACTCGGAAGAACGAACACCCGGGGCACGCATTTAGGACGCCCTCCGGAAAGCTCTCGGCGAGGGGCAACTCAGACCAGAAAGCGCCCTCCCAGGGGCCCGAAACAAAGTCACGGAAACGGTGCGTCAGAAGTCAGGGCGTCCTCTTATTCCTCTTGCTACATTTTGCGTGTGCCGGCCTATCCGCCAAAAACTGGCGTGCCGGCCCATCCGCTATCGTTTTTGCGTGTACTGGCCAATCCGCCAAAAAACCGGCGTGCCGGCCCATCCGCTATCGTTTTGGGTCCGGCTTGGGCCAGGCAGGGCCTCCGGGGTGGAGTCGGCCCCCACGTCCCATGAGCTTGTATACCCACGGGCCCCGGAAGGGTCAAAATCTTGACCCTTCCGCTGCGATGCAACACACTGGAAGCAAAAAAGCGGGCACGAAATTGTCACGACACCTCTTGCTGATGGTGCCCTGTCCCACGTTTTTTTGTTCCCCCCCCCCGATGAGGCGCAAACGAATGAAGATGCAAGTATGACGCCGGCAACTCGGTCCGAAGACGTCGCCGAAACGCATAAGCGCCACCAGGTGTCACAACCGACACTGGCGCAGCTGCCCCACCGCAGTCCGGCGGGCGCTGAGCCCACTGCCGAACGGTGGATAAGCCCCCGTCGGGCCTGCCCACGGCCCCCAATGGCCACTGAGAGCTGCGATGCGGGCGCGAGCAGCCCGCACCGCTACTGGCACACGAAGGGCGCGCCCTCTCGCAACCCCACGGCCGACCAGGACGTCGACCCGAAATTTGACCCGAAGCAATCGCCCCAGAGGTCGGTAAACTTGATCGGGTCCGGGAGCGCGTAGTACCCGGAGTCCCTGTCGACCACCTTCCGGAGCTTCGCGTGCGCGATGGCGTCCGCGGAGTTGTCGCCCTGCTGCCCTTGGGGCGCTTGCAACCTACTCAGCCAGTCGGCGACGACGTTCCTTGAGCCGGCCACGTGTTGGGCGACGAGGTCGGGGAGGCAATGCGTCTCCAGGAAAAGCGCCAGCTCCGCGGCAAGATAGTTCAAGACCTTGTTGGGCGACGCCAGTTTGTTGGCGACCCCCAGGGCTGCCGTGGAGTCAGAGCGCAATTCCAATAACGTGGTAGATGGATGTCTTAAAGTACCTGCCCCAAGCCCTCACGGCCACGACCACCGCCAGGAGCTCCGCGACCGCCTGGGACGTGCACTCCCCGATGGCGATGCCGAGGAGCCGGGTGTCCCAGTGATTCAATGGAGAGGCAATGTACTCAATGGTGCCCTGGGCGTGGCGGTCGTACAGAATGGCCCCCAAGCCCCACGGCGAAGCATCTGTCACGACCACGAATCTCGGCGCCCCTGGCCAGAGGGAAACCTCTCGAACTTTGGGGCCTGACTGCACTCCCCGCCACACGGCCAGCAGCCACGTCAACGCCAAGCGGCACCGCGACGTCGCCACCAAGAACTCTTTGCGATGCCCCGCCCTACGATGGCCCTGGCCCTGCGCTGCTTTCGCGGCGTCTCTGATCGCGGAAGCCACGATCGCCCAGAGGATGTTCACTGCCCAACGCGTGCGAGGGAGGGCGCCGGCCGCCCATGACAGTTTGCCAGTAAGCCGCCGCAGCCTTCGCAGCCCCGCCATGCTCGTTCCGAGGATCGCGTCCGACTCGGCGACCACATCCGCCAAGAACTTGCCCAATACCGTCGGGCGGACGACGTGGCCTACCAAGGCATATGACACATCAATTGAAACCCCAATCCACTCCACGAGTGCACCGCGGCTCCCCTTGGACCAAGACATCGTCAAGCCGAACGCGGAGAGCATCCAGAGACTCATGGCGAGAAGGAAATCGCGCTGCCGGGGCGTGCCGTAGAGTACCCAAAGGGGGTCGTCCAAGTAGAGCTCCAGACGGGCCTCGCCCGGGCGGTAGAGGCCCTGTAACAGTCGAGCCACGGCGGCCGCAAATCGGCCCCAAACCAGCGGCGCGGATTTTAAGCCGAATGACATCATCACCCAAATCATAATTAGCGACTCTCTCCAATGCCTCGTGAGGCAGTGCTTCAACTCGGCTTCGCGCACTCGGAAGTGCTGGTAGGCGTCCTTCATGTCCGCCGTGGCCAGGCCTCCGACGACCCCTGACCGCCCACTGTCACGAGGGCCTTAACGTCCTCCACGACGTCGCGGATGCGCGGTAGGACTGGTCTCTCTGGGACCTGAGCGCGAGCATTCTGGCCGCCCCGGAGCATGTCGATGATGATGCGCCTCTTCACGGTCCCATTCGCCTTCAAGGTGACGATGAGCGCGAGCTTGGCGACGGACCCATCTGGAAACCATTCCAAAGCTGTGGCCTCGTCGACGGTGATGTAGAAACCGTTCGCTTCCAACCTGTCCAGCTCAATCTTGGCGTCCTCCGGGTTGTCGTCCAAGCTGGCGTAGTTTCCCATCCCGGACGCCACCGCCTCCTCCAAGGAGAGCAGATGCTTGAACTCGGTGGCGGGCTCAACCGGCGGGAAGACCCCGCACGGGACGATGGGCCGCTCAGTTCCCAGGGGCACTCCTTGCTCGATCCACTCCTGCAACTGGCTCTCTGGATCGTTGGCCGCCCGGAGCCAGCCCTGGATAAAGGCGCCCTGCAACGGAGAGGGGGCGCCAAGGTCGTGCGCCGACACCCTCTCCTCCGGGATGTTGAACGCCCGTCTCCCATTCTCAACCGTTCCACCTGCCCCGCTGGAGGCCCAGCATACGACTGGTGACCCAGTGCATGGGCGATGTGGCGTGCCTCTGGGACGTCCGCCACGAAATCCTCGAACGCGCGCCTGGCCACAGCGCCCGCGCGAGCCAAGCCTGGATTCAAGCCAACCGCCCGGGCTGGATTCCGCATTCCCCCCGGGAAGGTGGTGTTCTCCAGCTCCCTGGCCAGCTTGCGCGGCGCCGTCAACTCGCCTGCGCCGGAAGGCGGCGGCAGTGCCGGAGCGCGCCGGTGAGACGCCCAGGCCTGGTCCGTGGCGGCCTCCCAAGGTGTCGGCGATGACGGCCTGGGCGGCGACCAGCTGGGGACGACGTGCGCTCCCGGGGGAATGACCTTCGAGTTGTCCTGCGCGAGTGGTACTGAGAGGCACTGGGGGCTCGCGCCTGGCTCTATGGCCGCCCCAGCGCCCCTGTTGGGCACATTACCCCCGCTTCTTGCTGCCACCGGCCGATTTGCCGGTCTTGCCGTCGCCCTTGCCCTTGGCGCTCGTGCCCTGGCACTTCTTCTCGTGGCCCGCGTGGTTGGGGCTGCCGCAAACGTGGCACACGTGGCGGCGCCCAGCCGGGCACTTGGACCCTGGGGCCGCACCCTTGCAGGGGCCAATTTTTTTGGAGAAACTGTAGCACACCTGCATTTTCTTCTCCGTTGGCGCGGCCCGGGCCTCGCTTCGGGCACGCCGGCTCCGGCTCCGCGAGCGGCGGCGGCACCTCTCCCTGGGGATGCTGGGCGACCACTCGCGCTCCAACTCCTTGTTGTTGACAGGGGCGTACCGGCCCCAGCCGGGCTTCTTGCGCACCACGTCGGCGCCCCCCGGCAAGGACCGGATTGCTACCTGCTCGTCGGGATCCAGCGGCACTCCCTTGCCTCCTCTGGCCAGCCAGGCGGCCGCCGGGTCCCGCACCTGCTCGTTCCAGTACTCGCGGTTCGCCACCGCGTAGAGGAACAACGCGGTCCAGGGCTTATCTGCGTTCCAGTCGGATGGGGCCCCCTTGCCGAGGCTCATGTTCTTCACCACGGTGCGCCGGAACCTCTCGATGAACTCGGCCCTGAGCTTGTCGTCTGCCATGTGTATCAAAAGCCACGCATCGGGCCACTGAGTCGCCAGCCGTTCGATGTGGCGCTGGTAAGCATCCAGTGCCGCCCTCGATGCAATCTCGAGCATAATGCAGGCCGTCGCGAAGACCCTCCACGACATCAACCACTGATCGTAGTTGGCTGGGCCGGGCAATTCTTTCGCCAGCCAACCTCCACCAGGTAGGAGGAACCATGCCCGAAACTGCATGTTGCGATAAGCTTTTCGCCCAAAAGGCCCCCATACCCCGAAGTCTGCGTAAGGAGTAGACCTCATGGCGTACACGCGGTGGTGGAGCGCCGTCAACTGTTGGATGGAAGGCGTATCCTCTGGAACCGGGTCCTCGCCCGACGTCGCAGCCGCGTATGCCTCCACCCACTTCTGATGAGTAGAGCTGGACGCGAGCGCGATCTCCGACTCGTCGCGCTGGTCCAGCACCTTAGACAGCTTGACCACGTTCTCCTTCGAGCTCCCTGCAGGAGCAGCCGGGGCTGCTGCCGCCGCCTCTTTCTTGGGCTCGAAAGGGTCGAGGTCCACCCAATCTTCCCAAGCAGTCGCCCCACCGCCGAGAGAGACAGCGATGCGTCGAGCGATACGCCAAATCAGACCCCATTGAGCGACCTGCACCGGCTCCAAGGGGGTCTCTGCCAAGCGGGCCCGACGGCCCGCATCTGCGATCACCGTCGGGCTCAGCATCGCGATGTTGCGGATCGGATCCCCCAGGTTGCCCGTGATCTCCTGGAAGGCCTGGAAGGCGTTCGTGGACAACCCCACCCACTCGACGATGTCGGCCACCTTGCCCCAGCCGAGTGCAGTGGCCTTCGGAGGAAAGAGCGCCATCACCCCCCCTGAATCCAAGCCCAGGGATTCGCGCAAAATCGAATCGAGAACGGAATCGAATCGAATCGAAGGCAAGGGTGCGGGGGTAGCGTCTCGACCCAAAACGGCGACGCACGGAGTGCTTGACACATGCCTTCGCTGCATCCTCACTCCCCACCCCGCCGCCCAATCTGCATGAGCATCAGCGTGCAGCTTAGGTTCGCACGTAACTGCGTTACTAAGCCAATATTGCAGATCACGTTGCCAAGAGTGTAGATCTCGGTAACGTGATATACGAATTGCATGAGCCTCTCCGTCGAGCTCGTGAACGGCCAAATCACAAATTATGTCAACCTGTCCAACAAACTTGAAGAAACGAGAACTAGCTGCCAATTCAGAAGGTGTCAAGAACATCTGAAGTTTCCCGTTCTGGGAGGCTGTACTGCTTGTGAGAATGCGACTGAGCGTCTCAATATTGTTTCGCTTGCCCCTCCCCCCCCGGGCGCGGGTACCCCGAGACTGAATGTGAAAGGCAGCGTTGAAGACCCGAACCAATCTTCAAAATAATCAACGGGATTGGTTTGGTTGGGAAAAGCAAACACCCGTAATGAAGTAAGCGTATCATCTGCACGTCGCTCTGGATACAACAACTCGTGCAGAATAGTAACCTGTCTCCGCTGCATTTCCCAAGAACTTGCTTTCAAATCAAATATGATAGGGATGCCTGGAAACGCATCAAAGAAATCTTCAACCGTATTAATTATTTGGCGTTCGCAAGCCTGAAGGCCAGCCACTTCCGAAGATGGTACTCCAATTGACAAGAAGAATTGTTCAAACGTTTCACACGTCGGTGATAAATCAGCCTGTTCAAAACGAATGTCCATCAGATCTTGCGCCCGCTTTGGGAATCCACCATTTGCAATCCATTCAATCGAGCTGTGGGCACCAATAAGCTTATCATCTTGCGTGAGGCTCAAATCGACTCCTAGACTGGTCGCACCTTTCTGCAATGACCGTTGCGCTGCAAGGACAGAGTTGGGAGGCCCCAAGTATATGCCAGCGTCGTAAGCGATAAGTTGTGTAAACGTGGCGGGACGTTTCTTCAAAGATCGTCTTTCATCAGCACGTACGTCCTGCTGATCCAGCGGCTGCGGTTCATCCTGAACGCGCGCATGCTTATCCAGAAATTGGTCGGAGAGCGGATTCAGCTGCAGCCCGTCCGGGAATGAAAGCTCGAGGTACATTGCACACATTGATGCGGCACTGATAGTGGCAAAAGCAATGCCACCAGCTCGGCAGACCCATGCGGCAATGCCCGAACGCTGATTACTTTCAAAAGGCATTCAGATGTTGCGCTGCCTTGTATGAAACAAAATGTTGCAAACGAAATCGCTGCGTGGAATCAAAACCGCTTCGCCTGAACAAAAATGGCTTGAGCCAAAATGGCTTGAGCCAAAATTGCTACGGGCGGTCGTCGGGATCTCTTGGGCCGTCCTGGATGCTGTGAAAACCGAAGCAGCGAATATGCTAAAAATGCACGATGTCCTAAAGGAATGGGACGATGTTTGCCTTTACAAACTCCTCCGGGAGGCCTCTTGGAGCGCCTTGAGGACCTCTTTGGCCGTCCTGAGACCATCTTTGGCCCTCTTGGAGCGGCCGTGGGCCGTCTTCGAGCCCTCGTGGGACTCCCGGAGGCCGTCGTGGAGGAGGTATGTGAGGGCGTCTAGGGAGCGGTCTTGAGCCGTCTTGGGGGTCTCTTCGGCTTTCCTGTGGCTGAATTGGGCCGTCTTGGACCGAACATGGCCCGGGCCATAAGATCTGAGGCTACTCATCCATACCCCCCCACACACCCCTTAGTACTTCTCCCGACTAACGGATCGCGACGCTACGCGCGCTTTCCGTCATCCGCCGCCCCCTGGTCTTGCCACAGGGTTGCCCAGCGTGCTGAACGTCTTGTGGCTTGGTTCTGATTCTTTTCCAATAGAACTCCCCCTGGGGCTTCGGCCGATGCCGCCGGCCACCCGAAAGGCTGCGTGCGACCTGGTTGCAAAGGTTGGTCCTGCTCCAGATGGCTCCAAGATGGCTCGCGACGGCCCTCAAGTTCGCCCAAGATGGTCCAAGATCGCCTCCAAGAAGGCCCAAGAGTGTCAAAGATGCCTCCAAATCCACCTAAGAAGCCTCCAAGACGGACCAAGAGGCCTCCAAGTGGTCCTCCAGGAGGGCCCACAGAGGCTAAAATCATTACGTTCTGAAGTTATTGAAAGACTTTGGCATTTGCTCCTTTTCAGCCTTCCACGGGCTTTCTGACGACCCGAGAAGGCCAACGAGGCCCTAAGATCGCCCCAAGGTGGCCCCAAAGGCCTCCAATATGGCCCCAGGACGGCCCAAGAGGCCTCCAAAACGGCCCCAAGAGGGCCCCAATACAAGCCCAAGAGGCCTCCAAGATGCCCAAGACGACCTCCGAGACGGCCCTGAAGCGCCACAAGAGGGCCCTAAGTCAGTTCAGAGAGGCATTCCAGAAGGCTTCCGACGACGTCAAACGGGCCAGGAGCGCCCGAAGACGGCCAAAGCGGCCCCGCACAAGCCCCCAAAGGCTCCCGTGAGGCCAAAAACTCAGATGCCCCTCTTCCTGAAGTGTTCCCCAATCGGTTTCAACAACATGGTCCGATAGCTCTGGCCCAATTTTCGGCCACATAGGCGTGGGCGGCGGTGATTCGCCGTAGGCGTCTCCGATACCTATACGACACATGGTCCGAGAATTCTAACTCACCGTTCGACCACACAGGCGCTTCCAAAAAGGCAGGGGGCGGCGGTGATTCGCCGCAGGCGTCTTCGATACCTATACGACCACCCTTCGGGTGATATGGAAGTTCGGGGCGAAGGGGTGACCAACATCTCATTCAATCGATCTCAAAGCTATCAATGTCTCGATCTCGCAACATATTTGCTTCTCGATCTCACAATCGATCTCACAACAGATCCAACGATCGATCCCGCAATCGATATCACGATCGATCCCGCAACAGATCCGAAAATCGATCTCGCAATTGATCTACCGATCGATCTCACATCAGATGGAACGATCGATCCAACTATCGGTCTCACCATCGCTTCGACAATCGAACTCACCACAGATCTCCCACGCGATCTCACGATCGATCTCACAACAGTTCTCACAATCAATCGCATCATCGATCTCACGATCGATCTCAATATCGATCTCACTGTCGATCCCACTAAAGATCTCATAAGCTGAGTAGCCCCGATTGCAGGTAAGGCGGAGGCCCGCCAAAAATTCCAAAACATCAAAACCATAATTGGTTCGTGACACCCCCCGAAAACATCAAAAACCAACAATTCAAACAATCATGATTGCTTATTTCTAATTATTGCAGTGGCCATGTAAGGGAAAATCGGCGACCATGCCCGGTTCGCAATTACTGCGATTTCCGCCCACCACGGCATCATCGCCAACATCATTTCCATCGCCATCACTGTTTCGCAATTGGCAATTGACACCCCCGCCCACACTTGTCATCGTCGCTGGTTGCTGAGGGGCGGTCATTTATGCACAATGCACTATGCACTATGCATGAGCGTCGCGGCACTTCGGCGTCGCGGCGTCAGCTGTGGTGGGCCCTGGAACACTCCCAAACACACTGGAACCTCGGTCGGCGCACCCCTCGCGCGGATCGCGGCGGGGTCAGGCGGATGGGGCCGAAGGCCTCCGAATGTAACAGAACCCATGGGGGCCCTGGGAGGCCCCCGAAAACCGCCGAGGTTTCGGCGCACCCCTTACGCGGATCGCGGGGTCAGGCGGATGGGGCCGAAGGCCTCCGAATGCAACAGAACCCGGGGGCCCTGGGAGGCCCCCGAGAACCGCAGAGGTTTCGGCGCATCCCTCGCGCGGATCGCGGGGTCAGGCGGATGGAGCCGAAGCCTGGGAGGCCCCCAAGAACCGCAGAAGGTTCGGCGCACCCCTCACGCGGATCGCGGGGTCAGGGGTCTGGCGGGCTGGCCGAAGGCATAAGAAAGGCACTAGAGCAGGTGTGACCCATGTACCCAACCCAGTCACTCTCGTTGCCCTCCTCCTTCTCCTCCTCCGCCTCCTCCCCCCTTTTCCTCCTCCTCCTCCTCCTCCTCCTCCTCCTCCTCCTCATCATCATCATCATCATCCAGCTCGGGCGGGTCTTCAACGCGCCGACGGCAGAAAGGAGGAGAAGGAGGAGAAGGAGGAGGAGGATCAGGGAGGAGAGAGAGAGGAGGATAAGGAGGAGGAGGAGGAGGAGGGGAGAGGGGAGAGAGAGAGAATGAGAGAGAGAATGAGAGAGAGAATGAGAGAGAGAGAGAGGAGGACGAGGAGGAGGGAGGAGAGAGAAGAGGAGAGAGAGCATGGAACATGGAGTACTGAGACATGGCACTGCTGACTGAGACATGGCAGTGCTCGCGAGAGTGCTCGAGGCCGCGCTCCGCGCTGCCTGCGCGACGACGACTAAGGGGCGCTGGGCGAAACAAAAAAAGAAGGAGAAGAGGTGAGGGGGGGCTCTCTGAGGCGCGGAGTCGTCGTCGTCGTCCTCGTCGTCGTCGTCGTCGTCGTCCTTCTGGTTCTCCTTCGCCTGCCGCCCCCCCTCCTCCTCCTCCGCCTCCAGCGCCAACTCCTCGCCAGCCTCCTCTGCCAGCCTCTCCGCCTCCTCCCGCCTCCTCCCGCCCCCTCGTTTGCCTCGTCGCCAGGCGCTGCATCGCCGGGTGGCTCCTCTCCTCCCCCACCTCCTCCCTCCGCCTCATCAGCTCCTCTATCCCTCCAGCCTTGCCACCTCTTCCCCCCCCTCCCTCTCCGGATCCACGTCGCGCGTCATTTCCAGTGGAGGAGGAGGAGGAGGAGGAGGAGGAGGAGGAGGAGGAGGAGGAGGAGGAGGAGGGCGAGGAGGGCGAGGAGGGCGAGGAGGAGGGGGATGATGAGGAGGAGGCCTCGAGCCCAGTGTCTTCGAACGTCTCGAGGAGGAAGATGGAGGGGGGCACGG